TTAAATTGTAACAAACGTTAAGACACAAAGTTACAACAACAAAAAAAAAACAACCAAAAATTTATTTCAAAAGGCGACCCCAAGTAAAAATATTCAATTATAGAAACTATTAATTCAACAGCTATAAAAGTCTACTCTGTTATAATAGTTTAATTCAGTTTATGATATAGTTTTTAACTATCCCGGGATGCGCAAAAACCCGTGAACTGAGAAACCCTAGTGTAATGTCTGGTATTTCTATGTCCCTCTTCTTCTATATATTAACGGCCCACGATCAATTTATTGATTATTCTGGCTCCTATGCATGTAAAGGGGGGGGGGGTTGCAAGTTTCTGCGCCTGGTGTTGATGAGGATATTTCACTGATTGCAAGGGCTACTATGTGAGGGAATCATGCACTGGGGGTTGGAAGACCTGAGGCAATAGACGCAAATGTTTCAATTGTTTTCGCTTCAACTGTTCCTTTTGGAAGCTTGTTCCAGTCCCGAATTGTCTTGGGCAGGAATGAGCAGTTCCTGTACTGGCTTCTTGCTGGTATGAGCCGGAACTGTCCCTTCTAGACACAAAAAACAACAAACACAAACCAACAACCCAGAACGTTGACGTCCTTAGTTTAAAAATTAAAATAACATTAAACACATCGCTCATGCCATCAAAATAAAAGGTTGTGTCCCGGGGAAAAACAACTTTCAAAAAATCATAATTTGTTGGGATCCGCTTTTCAAGTGTTTCGGTAGGCCTGCTACATTCTTGATTTAGTGGGTATCAAATTGAGCTTCCAGAACTTGATGAGCGCAGCATTTTCATATTATGATATATGCATGTGTGTTTATCATAATATTTGTTATGCTTTTGGTTATTTTATTCCCACCGGTATTTTAGACGGGTTGCATTTTGTTCACTTATAAAATTTAGCATAATCAGTGTGTATCTACTTAGCAAAAGTTTTAACACCAGTTTGATCGACTAAATGTATATATCTGTTCAGCTGTGACACTGTTTTTGTAATAGTAGATGACGAAATATCCGGTTACCGACGACGGTCACGGCATCCGGCTGCTAACGAGTGTGACAATAATCACCGGCCATTATCGAGCATATGTGATGTATGGTCAAATAACAAACACCCTCTGCCCTCCAGCCCCCCCCCCCTTTTTTTGTGTGTGTGCTGATATTAATGTTTTATTTAATTTGATGGTTCTAAAACATACCGTGGTATTTTGGTCTAGAGAAGAGACTCCGTGTAGATGTGCTGGCTTACCGGTAGCAAAGGGCTCACTCTTTAGGGACAAGTGCTTTATTATATTCTTTGGGTCTGAGTCGATAAGCCGTGTTTGTCTCCCCTCCCCCCCCCCCTTTTTTTTTCCTTCTGCTCCCTCTAGAATTTCCCCTCTTCTGTTTGTCATTGCTGTTTTTATCATATCTTTGATGAGTGTGTATATAGTTGACGTGTTGAATCGAAATTCTTGTTTTATTCAGGCTTGTTTCGGTATTACTTGTGCAGATGGTTCATTGTGATTGGGTTTATTGTGATTGGGTTTATTGTGATTGGGTTCATTGTGATTGGGTTCATTGTGATTGGGTTCATTGTGATTGGGTTCATTGTGATTGGGTTCATTGTGATTGGGTTTATTGTGATTGGGTTCATTGTGATTGGGTTCATTGTGATTGGGTTCATTGTGATTGGGTTCATTGTGATTGGGTTCTAGCTGTTGGTGGTTAAAGTCTTGGATTCCGTTTTAAAAAAAAAAATTATTTTTTTTAAAAATTAGAACGTGTCATTTTAAATCCCCCGAACGTCTCCTCGTATTGGACAAAACGTATTGGCAATGTTTTGCTATGCACAATCTTGGCACTTGTAATAGGAGTCGTAATGATCTTGTTTATTTGGACGTTGGATATGTGAAGCATAGTGATCCCCATGGAAAGGCAATCACTGCATTGCTATCTATGCTCAGTGTGACGGGTAAAGTCACCCAGGAAGCATTGCTCCTGCTCCCCACCCACACTCACCCCGATCAGTTACGCCCATGTTATTTCACAATGCACCTCACGGTTTATTATCCTTCCTCGAAATGGAGCCATGACGTCACATATTATTTTGAACTCCGAATATTGTATAACTGGCTTCCAGAAGCAGGACCAGATCAGCGATGATCACAACAATATCGCATGCTGTTGGATACTATTTATATGCAAGATTAAAAATGGCCTGCATAAACTTAGGGTTATCATAGTCAGAAGATTGGAGTCTGTTGACACTTGGCCTTGACATAGCGAGGTTCACGACCGGATCGGACAAACCAATATCATTATGGGACTTTCCTCTCTGCCCCCCCCCCTCCTCAAAGAAAAATATTAAAAAAACAACAACATAAAAATGTGTGCCTTCGGTATCGCGTCATATGTATTTTTTAATCTCATAAACTTTGAACCTGCGTTTAGTAGCACTGTCATCGGTCGTGTTATGTGAAGGTTTACATACAGTGGCGGATTCAGGGGGTGGGCCCAAGTCCCCTTCCTGTATATCGTTTTTTAAATTAAAAAACAAACTGAAAAGTATAAACTGTGGCAAGTTATTATTTTTGAACACGGTAATTGTGTCAATAACCGTGCCGCCTCCTACCATTCGTTATCTGGAGCTGCCTCTGTGCTACCCTGGACCCGCACTTGTTCAACGATAGCCAATCATAGATCTGACAAGGAAATGTCTTATGTTTCAATGCCTGTCATGCTGTAAGGATGTCCGTGTGTGGGTATCGCGTTTGCTGACTTGGCCTAATTCTCACAGCCCACACATCACGCTATTATGGCTCGCGTGTTGCCCCCATCGTTGGCGCATTGGCCAGCCAACGCCAAAGTGTTTGTATCTGTTATTTCTTTTTAAAGTTTCTGACAATGAGTGCAGCACCGGGATGATTATGTTTACACGGCGGGTACCAACTTGCAATCCCACGAGGCTAATTTAAACAAACCTATCAGTTGTTTATTTGGAATGCGGTTAAATTTCTTGTGTGTAATTTTTTCCGAACTCCGTGGATGCTATACCCCGAACGACAAACGTTAGCGGTGTCATTTCTGGTAGTCTTAGCCACTTTAACCTGTTGGATATTGCTCACCTACCGGAGACGTCGTGAGGCCGACCAGGCCATTATCAACAGCGGCAAGTCTTCACGCATGGACGAGACACGTCAGGCCATCATCAAAAGCGACAAGTCTCCACGCATGGACGAGACACGCCAGGCTATCAACAGCTGCAAGTCTCCACGCATGGACGAGACACGCCAGGTCATCAACAGCGACAAGTCTCCACGCATGGATGAGACACGCCAGGCCATCATCAACAGCGACAAGTCTGTACGCATGGACGAGACACGCCAGGCCATCATCAACAGCGGCAAGTCCTCACGCATGGACGAGACACGCAGGAGGCTCACTTCAAGAAAGCCATCACCGCGCAGTGTGGCCAGCAATGGGAGCTTACAGTACGTTTATATGTAATGTGTCTGTGGTCAAAGAAACAAAATTATCACATCCGTATACTTAAGGCGATTATGCACTTAGGACATGGCGTAATATCATTTGGCGTTTGCGGCCCATTAAAAATAACTGACTGCACAACTTTTTGAATGATCTAAAACGTGACGCCACCTGAATACTAATACTTTAATGGCGCTGGGTGGCCGAGTGGTCTAAACTGAACAAATCTCAAGTTGGTGGTCTGGAGTTGAAGTCCAGCCCAGTCAAGCAAAAACATGACCGGTTTGATGAGACTCGTTAACCTTGGATACTCATCTAAGATAAGGAGACTCTGAATTCAAACCCGGAGATGGAGTCCTGAAAGGCGGATAACCGGGAATTTCCCCACCTTTCATTGTCCCCACCTCTTTTTAAACATTCTATTTAGTCCTTATGGATTTTGAGATCAAATGACTGAGTACTTATTTTTGTGAAATGAAATGAGTATTGATTAAATTGCTTGAAAAAGAACCCCAAAATATTTATCCTTGGTACCGAGCCACTAAAGCAAAATTGCCGGGTCGCCGAAAGAAAGAAAATAAACGTTTGAAAATCTAGGTTAGCTTATCGTGACGTACACATTAATAATTTTTTTGGTAAGTTTGATTTCTGTACAGTCTTGTATGAGTAAATGCTGTGTAGGAAACCTGTGTGTACATTCATATCTGTTAAATATGCCAGTATAAACGATTTGTAAAAAAATAACCGGGTCACTAAAATGAAAGTTTGAGAAACGCTGATTTCAGCTACAAGCGCCAAGAATGAACTAATTATAATTATGTGACTCAATTAGATGCCAGTGTGAATGGTCCGGCCAGGATTGCCTGCTGTGAATGTCCGTAAAAACTTTGGGATTTCCATGCAAAAAATGGTTAATATTACAAAACACTTTTGAAGCGGACAAAACAGGAAATGTTATCGTTGTCATTTCTGCTCGATTCTTGCTTTAACTAGTATCATCATAATCAGAAGAAATTTTACCTGGATGAGAATGTTATTCAATAAACTACCGCAAAAAATAAATTTATGCCCCACGAGACGCCAAGAAGCTATATAGGATATAGGGACAGCTGAAAAATTAGTTTTATATTTTCATCAATTACGGTATATATTAAAAAATTGTCCGCAAAAATGGTGGAAATTTAAAATATTTGTCAGTAAATTTTATCTTAATCGAGTTGGCAACCCTGGTTTCGGTCCAAAAGACCACTCATGCATAACTGCATATTAAAAAAGTCTTATTTGTTCAAAACTGATATTTATAAATTTATTGTAAATTATTAATAAATCATTTTTAAAATTCGAAGCATTCGTAGTGAAACCTTGCGAGAGACACAGGGGAAAGAAAAAAGAAGGGATAAAAAATGGTGGATGACTTTGCACAGAGAAACACCGTACCAAAATTATATTGAATTATATGGCGAACTCTTCTGTGTATCAGGTGAAAACCGTCGTCATTGGATTGTTTACAATCTGTGTTGAGGGCAACATGGCCGCCCATATCGGCTGATTCACGCACTCACTGTATGTTTTCAACATTGGTGCTTGCGTTTGAGCTGAAAAAATTGTATTCAATATTCCCCTTTCGGCTTAAAATGTCGACGGATAATACAGAAAATAAAAGCGAAACAGAACTATTGGACAAAATGGCAGAAATTTCGTCCGCTTCCAGTTCTAGTTCTACCAGCTCTCAATCCGCTCAATCTCAACCATCATTTCACGGTCACAGGTAAAACTAGACAAGTTGAAAACACGCAAGCCGTAATCATCCATCTAGTTTTCTTCCAAGTTATAGTGATTTAAACTTTTCATAAATCATGTAAACCTCAATAATACATCAACATTGTGTCATTGTTGACATTGACTAATCAGTTTCCTTACTTCCTCCCTTTATACTTTATAATTAAGTTGTTTAATGTCTTTCTTTAGACAAAATACTCTCATTTGCTATCTCATACTTATTTAGACTTATATTTAAAGTATTTATCTAATCTAAATTATTATATTTAAAAAAAATGTGTAAATTTTGTCCTCGAGACAGTACCTCTATAAAATTCTTTAATTTTTTATGAATGCACAAAACATCCTGAGTGAGAGAAATTAACAACAAAGTCAGCTTTTATATTGCTATAAATAAAGAGGTTTTAATTTCTTCTAATTACCATTTCTTAATAACAACTCAATTGAATTAGGCTATGTTCTTCTTTCAGCACTCCTCAGAACGGCAGTCCCAAATTATAATTTTAATACTTTTCGTTAGAAACTGGCTGGCTATCGATTAATTGGTGACGTAATTTTTTAACTTCAAACTGTTTGCAGACTATTTATTGCTTCTACTTATTTAAAATAAATAATACCATGGCCGGCAGACCGCAAGCGCCGGTTCGTATGTCATATAAATTTTTGTCAGGAAACTTTCTACAAACTTATGACACAATGCCGAAGGCACTGTATTCTTTGGTTAGTGTGGCTTGCTTAACACTGTCTAATCTAAAACAACAATTCAACAGCGATAACTTAAGTTTCTCTCTTGCATTTTTCTGTCTTTTTCTTCTTCTTCTTTTTTTTTATACATATATATTTCAGGAGATGATGATGATGAAGAGGCTGATGAAGATCATGTAATTACCAATTATCGGCGGCTACTTGGCTGGTAGCCGGACACTACCTAACGAATACTATTATATTTTTTATTTGGGAGCGCGGTTCTGAGGAGTGCCCTTATTTATTGGAATTTGACAAACTGCTTGATCTAATTAAAAATAGAAGCTGCAAAATGATTTATAAGTTATTATAAAAATAACTTCGTTCATTTATCAGCCAATTTCTAAAAAAAAAAAGTTATTTTAATGTTACAGTTGTTTTAAAGTTAATGTTTATACATTTTTGTTTAACAGGCACACTATGTCAGGGATATCCCTGGACACTACAGCCAAACGTAAGTCTTACGTCAAAGATTTCTGTGTGGCAACCCCTGAGGAGTTTGTTAAAAGCTTTGGTGGAAATGTTGTGATCAACAAGGTAAATAATACCAATATAAGGTAGACAATCATTACTTTGTGTTAAATTCCTTTCATTTATTAATTTCATTTGATGCCATATACTTGGTATTGCCAATGCTGGGGGGGGTGGGTGAATGTTGGAGCATAGGAGTTCCCCTTATATAAAATTTTAATTAGTTAATATTCATCTTCTTTTCTCACTTCTATTTATACCTTAATCAAGGTAAATAATACCAATATAAGGTAGACAATCATTACTTTGTGTTAAATTCCTTTCATTTATTAATTTCATTTGATGCCATATACTTGGTATTGCCAATGCTGGGGGGGGGGGGTGAATGTTGGAGCATAGGAGTTCCCCTTATATAAAATTTTAATTAGTTAATATTCATCTTCTTTTCTCACTTCTATTTATACCTTAAAATGATAAAGTTCAAATTTATAATTTAAAGAGATACTTAAAAAAACAATATGCATGAAAGAGATTTATATTTTGGTCCTGATCCTTTATTGACTTTATTTAAAATAATCTAAAACTTAATTCAATACTGAAGTTTAGTGCTTACATATAAAAGCTTGTTTATCTTTTTTCAAAAAGTACAAGCAATCATAAGACATAACCCTTAAAATTGTTAATGAGCTCAAAGACATTTGAATTTTTGCAGGTAAAGTATTATCAAAACCAATGTAAGAAAAACTATTATCTTGTTGTGTAGTGCCCACATGTATCAGTTAAGCATTTATTATTTTGAAAAAAATGTTTAAAGCAATCTATTTATATTATATGGGTTCTCTTTATTTCAGGTTTTAATTGCCAACAATGGGATAGCAGCTGTTAAGTGCATGCGGTCAGTTAGAAGATGGGCATATGAAATGTTTAGAAATGAAAGGGCTATCAAGTTTGTGGTTATGGTCACTCCAGAGGATCTAAAGGCCAATGCAGGTAATTTGAAATGTCCGCTTAGCAAAGAAAATATTAACTGGCTAATAATTATTATGATAAGGTACTGGTAAATGTAATTTGATATTTAGAGAAAAACATTAAATTTATTCTTCTTACTTATTTTCTTTCAGAATACATCCGCATGGCTGACCAATATGTACCTGTTCCTGGTGGGACAAACAATAACAATTATGCCAATGTTGAGCTTATCTTAGACATTGCCAAGAGAATACCAGTTCAAGCAGTCTGGGCAGGCTGGGGTCATGCTTCAGAGAACCCTAAGTTGCCAGAGCTCTTGCACAAAAATGGGATTGAGTTTATAGGTAAATTTTTTGGCCAATAATAGATGAAATGGCTATATTATATAATGTTTTCCAGACTTTAAAAAAAACAACTTTCCTCTACTGTTCTCCTGGGAAAAAAAGTTAATAAGAGGTGATTTGAAAGTTGTTACAAATATCAAGTCATAAAAAAAATTGAAGTTTGTGCTATTTAAAACAAAAACAATAATGTGTTACCCTTAATATCCTCATATACAGGTCCGCCAGAAAATGCCATGTGGTCTCTTGGAGATAAAATTGCATCTTCCATAGTAGCACAAACTGCTGGAGTTCCAACATTACCTTGGAGTGGATCAGGTAATCACTTACATAAATCATAATTAGCTTCTAAATGTTTATGTACAATATTTAAACCTGCAATAAATTTTAAAAAACAATTTAGAATAAATTTATAGAATCAACTTGGTTATTGGGATAAGACTGTCACATGAAACCAAATGTTCATAACGTTTGAATCATGAATTTTCTTTGAGATTGTAAAAATATATTATGAGAAAGTTACAAATTGTGATTTAGACTTAAACCACAAGACCATCTTAACGGCTTGTGGCCTGTATCAGCTGAATAAATTGAAATGGAATCTTAATATTTATTTAAGTTATTTCCAATATCTTGACTTGAAATAATATTTTGAACAGGTTTAAAACTTGCGCCACATGACATTAAAGGGAAGACTTTGGTAGTACCATCAGACCTTTATCGTAAGGGCTGCACAGCTAATGCTGAAGAAGGATTAGAAGCTGCAAAAAAGATAGGATTTCCAGTTATGATCAAAGCATCTGAAGGTGGCGGAGGGAAAGGCATTCGCAAAGCTGAAAATGCTGAAGAATTTACTAACTTGTTCAGACAGGTAAGAATAGAATTTTAAATCTTATCTCCCTGCATCCTTTTAGTGAGTTAATCATTCACCATTTGGGCAAAATATTTAAAAAGGAAAATTCAACTTATTTGAAACATCAATTTTTTAAAAAAATTATACAATTTGATATGAAATTTTTTTTTAGGTTTAAGTGCTGAATTTTTAAATATTATTTAGATAGATAGTGCCTTGGTTTTGGTTAAAAAATTACATAAGTTGTAGAAAACTAAAAAGTTCTTTTTCAACACTTAAACACAGGTTCAGCAAGAAGTTCCAGGATCTCCCATTTTTGTAATGAAGCTTGCCTCTGCTGCTCGTCACCTTGAAGTCCAGTTACTGGCCGACAAATATGGTAACGCTATCTCTCTGTTTGGTCGTGATTGCTCCATACAAAGAAGACATCAAAAGATCATTGAGGAAGCTCCAGCAGTCATAGCCAGCCCACATGTATTTGAAAAGATGGAAAAAGTAATAATTTATGAGATGTTATTTATGAAGGACTATTGTTTGGCCAAGAATACTTTAAGTTGGATAAATAAATTAAAATATTTTAAAATAATTAAAGATTTTATTAGTTACAGATATTTTAAGGAAACATGCTTTTTTCAAAAAGCAAAATATGAATATTAAATGCTCAATTATTTTAAAGGAATAATACAAGTTTATTTTAACTGTTTTAAATAAGAATATCTCTATATATAATAATTATCACATTTTTTAAATTGTAAATTGAATTAATTTTTTTCTTCTCTTTATCAAAGGCTGCTGTGACACTAGCCAAAATGGTAGGGTATGTCAGTGCTGGAACTGTAGAATATTTATACAATGCTGATGAAGACAGCTTTCACTTTCTGGAATTGAACCCCAGACTGCAGGTTGAGCATCCTTGTACAGAGATGGTAGCGGACATTAATTTACCAGCAGCACAGCTACAGGTATAACTTTTAATGCCTCCTGTCAAGAAATGAAAGGCTTAATTTGTTTATATATTTATAAAACCCAGAACTCAATTCCAAAAAATACAAACGTAACCAAAGCATCTTTACCATAAACCCATTGAACTTGTGATCCCACTTTAGCAGTCAGTGTGTTTGTTCAAAATGCATACCCTGCTGGACGTTTTTTTTTTCTGTTTACCACATTACTTGGAAAAGTTCACAACTTGGAAAAGGTCACATTTACTGCTGTACCCATGGATGCATTGTTGTTATGGTTTAGTAATGTTTTACTAGATGTATAGTGGTGATGAAAACCAGAGCTGATTAATGATAATGTAAATGATACGAATGATTATCTTGATATGAAGAAGTATAATAATAAAAGCATATAGACAGTGAAAGTGATAGTCTACAATACTGATCTACTGATTAAATGAAAATTTTCTCCATGATGTACATTTCATACAAATTAAGCTTTTGAGGAATAAAATTTAATTAATTTAGTAATCATTGAATTTTGTTTGCTTGTGTGACTGTTCATGTAATCTTTTCCCAGTAGCCAAGAGTTATGGGTAATTTATTAGTACTTTAAGCCAAGGATTCATAAGGTTAAAAGCAAATTATAAGTTAAATTATAAACCAATAATATTATGCAACTTGGATACTTAACACTTATCTGCAGATGTTGAATTAATTTCTCTGACGCACTGATAAAAAAGAATTAAGAATTTGACTCATGCATAAGATTATATAATTAATTGATTTTTCAGATTATTTGAGCATTTTAATAATAGGCATTCTACTGCTTTAAGTTGTTGTTTTAAAAAAAATCTCTCTTGTGAGTTTCAATAGTATGTTCAATTTGTTTTTTATGAAAAATATTTATTTTTTTAGGTTGCAATGGGCTTACCACTTCACAGAATGAAAAGCATCAGACTTCTTTATGGCTTAGACCCATGGGGAGACACTGATATAGACTTTGACAACCCCCTTGTCAAGCCCAATCCTAGAGGTCATGTGATAGCAGCCAGAATAACTAGTGAGAATCCAGATGAAGTAAGCCACTGACACTCAAAAACCTGATATCTATAAATAACTAAGTTTAGATATGCCAAAAATTTATTTTCAGATTTAATTGTTGTATAGGGCTAAAGATGTTGATACAATTATTTGTAAAAGTTAATTTTAAAAATAAAATTCAACATTTGAACTTAATTTAAATATTGTTTTCGAAACATAATTTCTGAAGTTCTTTATGGAATCCTAAATTTGTATGTTACTTTAATTCACTTATTTTCCAGGGTTTCAAACCTAGCTCTGGTACTGTTCAAGAGCTCAACTTTCGCAGCAGCAAGAATGTGTGGGGCTACTTCAGTGTCATTGCCTCAGGAGGTCTTCATGAGTTTGCTGACTCCCAGTTTGGGCATTGTTTCTCTTGGGGAGAAGACAGGGAAGATGCCAGGGAGTAAGTTATGAATATTCATGGTGAAATAGATTTTTAGTAAAGAGGATAGATTCTACAAAAGACTGGGCACATATGAATATATATGATGCTAACTGCATTATAAATTTAATTTTGTGTGTGTTTTATTACTATGTTAATAGTAACTATTGAGGTAATGTTTAAGTTATTGAAATACTTCCAATGTATTAATCAACAGTGGATATTATATAAAATGTTGCTTTTGTTCAGAAACCTGGTAGTTGCACTGAAAGAGCTGTCCATCCGTGGGGATTTCCGCACAACTGTGGAGTATCTCATCAAGCTACTGGAAACTGAAACCTATCAAAATAACAGCATCACAACTGCTTGGCTGGACAAATTGATAGCAGAAAAGGTGCAAGCAGAGAAGCCAGACTTTATGTTAGGTGTTGTGTGTGGTGCTTTGCACATTGCTGACCAGGCCATCCTTACCGGATTTCAAGAGTTTCAGACATCACTGGAAAAGTCAGTTTCAAAATATTTATGTTATAAAGTATTTGACTTAAATGAATTATGTATTTCTCATGGCATCATTTATCAACTAGGGATTGTTTAAGTTACTTGGGGCATGAGTCTGTCCATACAGCAATTAATATTTCACAATTAAATAGTATCTATACTCTGCTATGCTTTAAGCCAGGGCCATTGTTTAGGGCAAAGCTGTATAAAACTGATGTGCTCTCATTATGTCTTTGTGTATATTGTTTTAAAGATCTCTTTAACCAGTTGGGCTGAAGAAGTAATTAAATGAGATAATGCTGTTTACAAAGTTATTGATGTTAAATTCCATCAGATGAGGTGGAAAATAAATTCAGAATAGTCAAATCAAATTATTATTTTTTAGCTTATGCCTTACACATATGGTAGAAAACCTATTCTGCAATTTAAAATTTGAGATTAAAAATGGCTTTTGTTTTTAAAAAAACAACTTTCATTTTTATTAATATTAATTTAAACATATTATTTCAGAGGACAGATCCAACCATCATATTCACTAAAAAACTCAGCAGATGTGGAGTTTATATTAGAGGGTATCAAATACAAATTGAAGGTGTGTATTAGTAGAAAAGTTTAGATTTTAAAAAATCCTTTTGTTACAAGTTGTGTAATGTTATCCAGGGAAGAAATTGTATTACTGTAATTTACATACCATTCTCAAAAGATATATATCTTCTGAGGTCTTTATTAGTGCAAAATTTAAGTTTTATGTTTTTATTTATTTGTTTATTATTTTAAAATGCCTTTTTTATAGAAAGAACATGATGCTGATATTATGGATTGTTCCTTATATAATAGGTTGTAAAGACCGGACCCAATGGGTACTTTTTACTTATGAACAAAACAACCCTCGACCTTGAGGCCCATCGTTTGAGTGATGGAGGTTTGCTGCTGTCTATAGGTGGGTCCAGCTACACCACATACATGAAAGAACTTATCAACAGCTATAGAATTACAATTGGAAATCAAACTTGTGTGCTTCAGAAAGACAATGACCCAACCATAATGAGGTAAAAATTTCATAAATTTAGAAAGATAGTTATTTAACTATTTTTAAATTAAAATAGTTTGGGGAAAAAAAATGGGCATTAAATCTTGAGCCATGAGCCCTTAATAGACTACATTTGTCTTCATACATTAGATCCCAATACTTTTAATATTAAATTTAAAATAAAAAACAACTCCTAAAGTCAAACAAACATTTGACAGATCACCATCTGCTGGTAAACTGATAAACTACCTTGTTGAAGATGGTGGCCATGTCTTTGCTGGGGATGTGTTTGCTGAGATTGAGGTCATGAAGATGGTTATGGAGTTGAGGGCTTCAGAAAATGGATGGTGAGTTACTACTTAGACTTGTTTTAGTCAATTATTTTTTCTTTGTAATATTTTCTTTACTTACATCCAACGAATATTTGTTGTTTTGAACAATTTATTAATCAAATAAAATATTGGCAAAGTTTTCTGAGTAATTCATCTGTTCACTCATTAAAAAAAAACTATAAAAATATTTAAAAACATGAAAATTCAATTTCCTCACTTTAAAAAAAAAAGTATATCCCTCATTTTTTCTATAGTTTGCACTACTCCAAGAGGCCTGGATCAGTTTTAGACTCTGGTTGTGTTGTAGCATACCTTACTTTGGATGACCCAAGTAGAGTTCAAATGGTATCATCGTTTTCACTAATAATATCTATTATAAAGGAACTCAAAATATTCTTATAATAAATATTTTTTTATATGTTGAGAGTTGTATTTGCTTATAACAATGTTTCATTAATATTAAAGAAATAAATATCATTTCATGGTAAAGAAAGTAATAGCATTCTTAATGTAGCCAACTATATAAATTAAAGATGTCATTCAAGCATTAATTTATGTCATTTATCACTAATATTAGCAAGGCTTTTTAGAGATTTTGATCATAACATTAACAGGCAAAGTTATTTGAGGGACCTTTACCTAATCATGAGAATACAGCCACCCATGGTGAGAAACTGCACCAAGTGTTCCAGAAAGCTAAGTGTGATCTAGATAATATTCTCTCAGGCTACATCCTGCCAGAGCCATACTTCAAAGAAAGATTAGCCTCTACGGTGGAAAGAATGATGAAGTGTCTCAAAGATCCCGCCTTGCCTTTGTTGGAATTGCAGGTATATAAAGTTTGAAACTGTTTACCATCTGCTGGCAAAATAAACTCTTTGTGAATTCTAAAGAATAAGAATAAAATATGTTTCACTTATTTTTTAGTTTGGATGTAACTCCCTAATATTTAGGCTTTTTTTTTTTTATTATTTTTTTTTTTGTGATTAATTCACAAAATTGTGTTTATTCATGCTCTTTAAATATTTTTTTTCTTTTCAAATGTATTTATTTCCAAATCAAGATATTTATTTTTGTTGGAATTGCAAGTATATAAAGTTTGAAACTGTTTACCATCTGCTGGCAAAATAAACTCTTTGTGAATTCTAAAGAATAAGAATAAAATATGTTTTACTTATTTTTTAGTTTGGATGTAACTCCCTAATATTTAGGCTTTTTTTTTTTTATTATTTTTTTTTTGGTGATTAAATCACAAAATTGTGTTTGATCATGCTCTTTAAATATTTTTTTTCTTTTCAAATGTATTAATTTCCAAATCAAGATAGCTATTGTAGTATTGAAGATAAAATTTAGTAATGCTGTATTTCAGCAATGAATTTAATAAAATTGGTTTGCAAGTTCCTGTTTTTGTGAAATATAATGTTATATAAGAAATCGGGATTGATCTCAATTTAGTGAGATGTGACTTTCAACTTTGCAATGTCCCCATAATCTTAAAATACGATAAGTTTACATGTTACCTGATTTTCCTAGGGCCTTTATGTTAAAGTGAAATGATTTTTTTATGTGCCACTGTGTAAATTTTAAAAATATTTTTGTCACCTTAGAAATTATTTATAGCCTTGAAACTTTTCTTTTGCAGGATTTAATATCAATGATACAAGGTCGAGTGCCCCAACATGTTGAACGATCAATACGTAAACTAATGTCATCATATGCTAGTAACATAACATCTGTACTGTCCCAGTTTCCTAGTCAACAGGTAAGATTGATTTATTGTTCAAGTTTGTAATTTAACGCTATGGCAGTTATCAAATATTATTTGTGTTTTGTTGTTACACTTTTATAATAGTTTTCTTTGTTTTCCTTGTAATGTTTATATTTTTGAGTATTTTGTGACTACCGAAATATGCCCTGGTTCTGGCTGATATTCTTTCTTTTATATCTGTTAGTTATTCATTTCTTTAATTTATGAAGGATCCTAGAATTGGATTGCTTTACTTTTTCAAAAGTGTAGTTCCTAATTTTAATGGTTTCATGTGTCTTTTCTTCTCTCAGCATAGTATGTATTTTGTTTTTTGGTTGTATTTCTGTGTCTTCTATTTTAAATAAAAACTTTTGATAGGTCTTTACTACTTTTCCCTAACAGTGCTGGGTCAACAGCATATGCAAGATACTGGAGGGGTTGGTTGAAGAGCTTACCTATTGTTTGTGGGTCTTGGGTTTCCCTCAGAAAGTATCCTGTTATTGTTCCTCTGGTGTCAATATGCATGCTTCTTATAACTCTTTCTGTTAGGTTACATAGCCTACAAGATAGTGAGCCTCTCTGTCTTAGGCCTCATCAAATCTGAAATTCCCTTGAATAGCCTCCCTGAACTCTGATTTTGCTTTTTGAGTTGTTTGATGTTACATGTCAGTGTCAGTTTGTTGGCTATGCAAAACTCCTGCACAGTCTCATACAGATATTTTATTTTGATGCTGTCATGGGCCATTTTATAGTCCACACAGAGTGGATGTACTAAAAGTAAAATGGGACAAAATGTAAACATTTATAATTTGTTTTTCACGTTTTTTTTAAAAATGAAAATTTTTATTGAATTGTAAAAACACAATTAGAATCAATTTTTTTTCTTCTTTAGATTGCAAGTGTTATAGACACTTATGCTGCATCGCTGACAAAACGAGCAGACAGAGATGTCTTTTTCATGACCTGTCAAGGCATCGTCCAGTTAGTTCAACGCTACAGAAATGGTATCCGGGGTCACTTGAAGTCAGTCGTGCAAGAGCTTTTAAGGCATTATTTGAGGGTAGAGCTGCAATTTCAACAAGGTGAGTACTTTTTATTAGCAGCCACCCACCAGTGGGTTCTTCAGTTTTAAAAAAAAAATACAGTAGTATACAATTAGTTTTAAAATAAGTAACTTCTAATAAGTATTGATACTCCAAGGTATTTTAATGCAACTTTTAGCAAACTCAAAACATAGAAATTTTTTTTACCTGAACGCTGTAAATGTGTTCATTTTTAAATATATTGAATGTAATTAAATGTTATAATTATCCTATGATGGAACACTGCTGCATATGCTTTTTTATGATTTAATCACAAATTCAAGTTAAACATTAATTTTCAGGATCCTATGACAAATGTGTCCGCTCAATCAGAGAAAGGAATAAGGAAGATATGTTGGCAGTGGTGCAGACAATATTTTCACATGTTGCTGTGCAGCACAAAAATGCCATGGTCATCATGTTGATTGTAAGTTTATAGATTTAAAAAAAAACTCTCATTACTTTCACTTGTGCAAACTCTACATTTTATTACCAAACCAAGTTTATCTGATTACTGTGAATATGTTAGCACCAAGAGCTATAAAAAAAAATTTTAAAAATTTAAGTGCAAGAAATTTCAATACTTCTGATCTGTTGTACTCTAGAAAATTAATTAGTGTACAATGTCTTTACTTCTTAGGACCATCTGTGTGGTAAAGAACCTGGCTTGACAGATGAGCTTGCTTCTATCCTGGCTGAATTGACACAGCTCAACAAGACTGAGAATTCAAAAGTGGCATTAAGAGCCAGACAGGTATTGATAGCAGCACATCAACCACCTTATGAGCACAGGCACAACCAAATTGAGTCCATCTTTTTGTCAGCTATTGACATGTCTGGTCATGACTTCTGCCCGGAAAATCTCCAGGTAAATTTTATTCAAATATAGCTTCAGTTAATCTAGACAGTACTTCAATGTTTCAGTATATTTAAAGGCTATTGGACATTACAATATAATTTGTATACTAAACAAACCATTTTCTTTCTCTACCAGAAACTCATAAACTCTGAGACTGCCATATATGATGTTTTACCAGAGTTTTTCTATCACTCAAATGAAGCAGTGAGAAGAGCTGCCTTGGAGGTAACCAGATTACTTTAATGTAAATTGTAGTTTATTATGGTAATGTTCTGCGAAACTGCATATTGAACAAATATTTATTAATTAGAAATGGCATGGAATAATTGAAGCTCTTTTAATCTAATGTTAAATTTACTTTCATTTAGTCCAAGACCAACACACACACTCAAATTTTGGTTTATGTTTTATATAACTTTATTTGTCTGCATCAGAATAAAGCACTCTTTCCAAAAACAAAATAAATGAAGATAACTTTAAGTATAAGCATTGACGAATGGATACCAGTAAAAATAACATGCCAATGATGAATGTTTCTATTTATTATGTCAATTTAATTTCAAATCTTTATTCTAAAATTCTCTCTATGAGCACAATTTCTCACTGTATTTTGTCAGGTCTATATTCGGAGGGCCTATATTGCGTATGAAATGAACTGTATGAAACACAGTCAACTGGATGGTGGAAAATGTGTTGTGGATTTTAGATTTTTACTACCTCGATCTCATCCCAATAGGCAAGTCATTTCATGTAATCAAAAGACCATTCTTCATGTGGTTGCAGTGAGATGGCCACTGACATTCATTAAAAAAAAATTACTTCAGGTTTATAGTCATCTTGATGAAATATACAGACTTACATAAGTTTCTTTTCACAACTTTTTATAGGCTACTTAAATTAGCTTAATTTAACCTTTAAAAAAACAAAATGTTTCAACTTTGGAGAAACATTAATTAATAAGTTAATCAGATGCATGCTTGAGTTGTCCTATAATGTTGTCCACTAATAAATATTGAACATATACTCTCAAGGATGATGGTAACAAGATTTGACTCAGGCATGGTTAGACTGAGTAGCATGGACAAGGATTCAGGATCAGATTCGGATCACTGGGATGAGCCACCAATTTGTCAACGTATGGGAGTCATGGTGGCCTTTCAAAACATGCAAGAGCTGGAAGAGTAAGAATATTTGGATTCATTGTGTTTCTTATATTTGATCATGGCAATAAGGGGGAGAGAATGCAATCAGATAAGCAAGAAGGAAACGAAGAAAAAAAAAAAATGTGAAAACTCGAAAAAGGGATGCAACTAAACAACAAACATGTTGGCAAGAAGCCTTCGTCAGCGAACAAACAACAGAAATAGCGGAATTAAATTGAAAATTAGTATCCAAGAGGGCAGTAAAAGAATTGTGACTGAAAATAAGTAGTTGAGAGATTAAATACAGGCAAAATGGGAAAGAAAAGAAAAGTAAGTTCACTGCGATTGGTTGTGATGTGGAGGGGAGGGGCCAAGGCTCAACATTTGAATGAAAGCATGAAGTTCATGCCATGTGGTGTCTTGTTTTACTCATTTCCTTTTTTATATTTGATCAATTTTTAAATTAATCTATGCAGTACAATTACCTTTATGCAAAAAGTTAAAAATAATATTTTATTATAATTATATATTTATATTTTGATTTCCAGTACTAGCTTCTTAATATCTATACTTTATATACTTAACAAATAAAATTACAATTTGTTGAAAAATGTAGAATGTGCTCCATTCCGCATTATTATTAGTTCAACACAAGTTATTTTAGTTTAGATATACAAGTCATTTTGTTTCATGCTTACAACATTTTCATTGAAGTAAAATGGTTGAAATAAATGTTTGAAATCAATTTTTGAAATCCATAATTCATTAGGTACTTTGATGCTGTGTTGGAACAGTTCCAATCCCTAACTCCACCCGGCAGTCCACTGGTTTCTGATTTTGAAGATGACAATATCTCTACGCAGTCTGGTTCAGTGAGTATTTTTTTAAAAATTGTTTAAATTTTTTTAACGTAACCCAAACATTTTATCAACATATCTTTTCAAGTCCCTGTGATCTTAAAATGTGTCACTCTCTCCTTGAACATGTTGAAACGCTTTTAATATTTTAGCACATTTGTCTCAGGTCATTCTTGAATATTATTTCCATAGTTCTGTCTTTTTCTTATCAGATGCACGTCCATACCCAACCTTCCTTCCTTATCCTAACTTCGGACAGGCTGAGGTGGAGACTATATTTATATGCAAGGATATTTTCTAAATACATCTTATTTTGAATATAATTTGAAATATTTTGTTATCTTGTTTCCAGAATGTGTCAGACTCCAGCTCTGATGACCCCACTCATATAATCAATGTTGCCATGAAGCGGCTGGATACTGATGATGATGATGCCCTCGCAAACCTCTTTCAAGTGTTCTGTAAACAAAGAGTAAGCCTTTAGTCCTGATCCCTTGTTTGTTCTGAGATTCCAATTTTTGTCGTAAAAATGTCCGGCTGATACCGGTATTTAACATATCATCTTTATATAAATCAGAATAGGTTAGTATATAAATCAGAATAGGTTATTATTTGCAATATTAAAGATAGGTTGCATGAATCTGCTAACATTTAAATGAAAAGCATTGCTATCGGGTGCTCTGACAACACAAAACATTTTTTAAATTTCTTGGGACCTTATCACTTTACCCAATGTATGTATCAGAGCAAAATATCATTCCTTAAATAATCTTAACCTTTGCTTCTTTTTCTTTGCTTTTTTTTATCCAAGGCTAAAGCTCTGAATGGCAGAGGCATCCGTCGAGTTACATTTGTTGTTGCTAACAGTGTAAGTTGTTCTACATTCTTCGAAGTAAGTGTTCATACTTTTTGTTAGTGCTGGCCACGTTACTAGTCAGAGGTAGCATTCTTGAACAGGGCGGGCAAGTTTGAAGCCTTATAAATAATTTGGCAAGCAGTGGTTTTCCCTGTAAAGAAAAAAATTTAAATGGCTTTTGTCTAAAACACTCTGTCCTTAATGCCTGTCAAATCTTTTAGGTTTTGATCTCTTTAGTTCTTTTATTCTTTGAAAGTTGAAAAATAATTTAAAGTTTTTCCTCACAATCGAAATTTTCTCTTTTCCACTTGCCAAATTACTCAGGGTGTAAAGAAAATTTTTATTTTGCGATTCAAGCATGGGAAAAATAAAATGTTAAATTTTATAATTATCTATGTAAAAATTTAGTTAGTGGTTAAGTTCACGTTTGAAGTAACAGGTCCAGCACTTTTTGTTTTCCTTACCTCCGTAAACCCATCTCCGTTTCATATTTTTGTTGAAAATTTATTTGATATATACAGGAAGGGCTTTAAGATGGAACACATTTTTAAATTAAGGAGACACCATTACATGTTCAATGGCATTTAAAAAAATTCAAGATAAGATTTTTAAAAACTAAATAAACAATTGTTTTAAAAATATAAATTTAAACATGTCATCTGTTTCAATATCAATATTTCTACTAGCCTCTTCCTGTATTTTTTCTAAATATTGTGTTTTAAATATTGCTTCATATTTTAAAATTTAAAAGTGATGTTTTTTTGAGGAGAGAAGAACCATAACACATGAAATTTATAAGAAAATTTGGCTAAAAGTGTAATGAAAAAATGATACATTAATGAACCCAGTTAGAGAAAATATGTTGAATGTTGTAATTAATTTTGTTGCATGTTTACCAAACTTAAGCATCTCTAAAATGTCTTTGATAGATGTGTGTAACATGCTATTTATAGTTTTATGGATTGTACAGAGCATGCAATCAATTTAATTGTCTAAAAAATCCCACTATAATGCATGGACTTAAAAACATTATTAGTTATTTTATAAAGTTTTGCATTCTCATGAAATGGCTCAAAGATCATATGTTTAATAAGCTTTTTTTTTTTTAAATTTTTTTTTTTTAATGTAATTATAATTTTTTAAAATAGAAACATTTTGATCATGTTTTATTAATTTATCATAAAATAAAGCTATCTCTTTTACCATCTGGTAAGAAACAAGTTATTGATTTTTTTTCCACTTGGATTATCTTCCAGCGAGCAATGCCAAAATATTTCACATACAGAGCAAAATTTGAGGTATGTTTGTTTCAGTCATAATAAAAACTATACGTTAATGCTATCACTCTTGCACTCCTCACACACTTTTCTCCCTTTTCAAACAAGAAAAGTGTACATTGATTAACTTATTGATTGATAGGAATGTTATTGTTAGGAGTAAAAGATCTAATTGTTCTCAATGACAATATGTGCTATATTATCTTAATATTGTAAACATGTTAAAAGATCTTCGAACCCTGACAAAAAAAAATTTAAAAAATTGAGTTTTCATGGTGATTTAAATATACAATTAATAGTTATTAAAACCACATTCTTGACCTCAGCGTGTTCTTGACCTCAGTATGTTCATAACCTTTTTCCACCTTTGAAAAATAAAGGATTTTTTCCCAGCCCATTCATTCTTGACTTAAGCTTTATCTTAATATTTTAGAAATATATCAAAGAATAAATAAATCATGTTTCTGTTAGATTCATTTCAGAATATAATTTGCTGTTTTTTTGTTGTTTTTTTTGTGTAGAGAATGTGATCATATAATACAGGCCTGCACAACATACGGCCCGGCCTGCGTAGTAACGAAATAATTCTTTATTTTTATTATTTTCATAATAACTTTCATCCCTGTCCTATTATCTTTCAGCCCACACAAGTTATTCATAAAGTATTACAGCCCACCTTGCATTTTGAATTGTGCAGGCCTGATATTATATACCACTAGCCCCCAAACTACTTCTGATGGGATCCACTATCCAAGTTATTTTGTTTGTAATAAATGTCATAAATATTGTAACTTCATTTATTTTCTTGTCTAGTTTTGTGAGGACAGAATTTACAGACACTTGGAACCAGCTCTGGCTTTCCAGCTTGAAATTAATCGTTTACGGAACTTTGATCTTGAAGCTATTCCCACAGCCAATCTCAAGATGCACCTTTACTTAGGAAAGGCAAAAGTCAGTAGAATTAAATATTTAATTTTTGCGTAAGGAACTATTTATATTGTAACTTTTAAAATTTTGAAATTGATTATTCAAATATAGAGAAATACACATTTTAAGTTTTCAAATAATTTTAAATCACTTTCAGGTGGCAAAAGGACAAGAAGTGACAGATTATCGTTTCTTTGTTCGTATCATCATTCGCCACTCAGATCTTGTCACCAAGGTACATTGTTGTAAATTGGCTTTCCTGAATTGTGATAACACATATAATCAATAACATTGAAGATTTTATTAGCACATTTTCATGTAAATTTTAGCTGTAATATTTATGCCAAAAAATAGCTGCCCATTTCCAGGAATTGCATATTCAAATTAATCAGATTTAAAATTCTTTTGCCAGAATTCAAATTTTCATAATATGCATTTAAAAAAATAATTTTAATGATCTTTCTAATGAATTAGTTCCAAAATGGCTCTTTAAAATGTTATTTAGGGATTTGCTAACACTTTAAAGATTCTTCTGCTTTGCGCTGTTGCTTTTTGAAGAAAAAAAATGAATAGGACCTTAAATTACTATTTTAAATTTAATTTTTGACTGACTCTGTACACTTTTTGTCTTGAAATTTAGGAAGCATCTTTTGAGTATTTGGAAAATGAAGGTGAACGCACTTTGTTAGAGGCAATGGATTCTCTTGAAGTGGCATTTTCTCATCAATCAGTGAGTACTTTCTTGCAAATGAATTTTGACTTTTAGTTTTTATCATTAATTTGAAGGAATCTTCATTAACCAGATTGAAAGGTCATTTTATTTGATAGAAAGGTGAGTTAGTATTGCTGAAGAAAATGGAAAGATTACACATTAGAATTTTAACCAATATTTGCTGAATCAGAACAATTGTTTGAACTTTTCTATGTTATCATTTAAAACCTCATGCCCATGTATACTTCTCTCTGATTTGAAACAGAAATATTCTCCATCGTCACATTGTGTAAAATTGATAATTAATAATTTCTCCGAGCTGATGTGTCAAACATTTACAAATAATTTGATATTGCATACTTTTTTTAAAAAAAAGACCCATGGTTATGTGAAAAGCGTTTCCATCACAGTATTATTTATTAGATGACTGAAATATAAAAAAAAATATCATCCCAGCCCTTTATTGTTAAAAAGAGTAGAAGTATTCTAGCTAATTATTTTGTGTTTCTGTGTAAAAATCTGTAACATTTACAGATGTCCCTTGATGTTGAAAATCAAAAGGTATAATTAGAAATCAAGCTTTATTTTACAGTTTTGAAGTGTTTGAATTGCTGTCATTAGATCCTTTCATTGCATAGATATCTTGTTAAAGAATGCTAAATCAGTTAACAGATTTGAATAGATTTGTGTGCGTCATGTTAGTTTTGGGAGAAAATATTTTTAAAAAATAATTCTTAATTTAATTTTCAACTTTAACACCCTCTTGACTATTTTCACACTTTAATTGAAAGTGATAAGATTACACCACTTTTAAAAAAAATATAAAACTTTGAAATTCTAACTTGCTATATATTTTGTTTTTTTTGGTTGGTTATTTACTCTTCATTTGTATTGTTGTTGGATACAAATTTACCAATAGTATGTGATTTTAACCCAAGTAGGGTAAATATGGATACTTTCTAAGCTATTGTTAAAGATTTTTTAATAATAAAATAATTTATTTTAGATATATAAAAAAAATTAAACATTTGTTGAATATAAAGAAATATTAAATTTATCAGTTTTTTTGGATGGTTTTTAGATTGCTATTCTTCTTTTGCTGAATATATTTTTTATAAATTATTTGAGCTCAATAGACTTAACTTTATAAAATAAATGTTAAAAATTGCTTAGTTTGAAAAAGAACTATAAAATCTAGCTTTACATAATACAGTTTTTTGAGTCAACAAGCTATAGGTTTTTCCTAGTAGTAAGATTAGTAGAATTAGAAAAGAGTTAATAAGTATATGGCAAGTTGGCTGATTGTATTTGTGTAACTGAATTGTTACAAATAAACTGTCAATAGAATATTTTTTTAAACTTAAAATTCTTTGTGCTTTTAAATGAAAGGTCCCCTCAATCTTTTAATTAGTTCAATACTTAGAAATTAAACCAAATTATATTTAAAAAATACATTTTCATATTAAAATTGTATTTGTTTTGTTCTCATCTCCATAGTCCAAGAAAACAGACTGCAACCACATCTTTTTGAACTTTGTTCCTACATTAACACTCACAGAGCCTGGCAAGGTGAGCGCTTGAAAATAAATTTCATATTTTAAAAAAAAATTCATCAATTGATTTTTCTTAAGGCTATGGTGTTTTGAATTTTTCTTATTCCATTTTAAATTACTACATGAATATTTTAAAATTATTGACTAATACAAAAACAAAAATGTTTGATTTTGTCCAAAGCTTGTTGAGACAGTTCGGAACATGATCATGCGCTATGGATCTCGACTGTGGAAACTCCGAGTTCTTAATGCTGAATTGAAGTTTACAATCAGGTTAGAACATTGATTTTTGTGTTATCTTTGATACTTAATGTTCTTTTATTTTAAGATTTTAAAAAAAATCTTTATTTATATTAATTAAAACCTTACAAAAATATAACAATTTTAAAAGTAAAATAATCTTTAAAGGAGTATAAAAAAAAAATATTATTTAAAAAAAATCTCAATAGCAAAAGCTGAATGATTGGAATTAGTGCTAGAGTAAAACATCAGTTGTATTCAATTATTGTTTTCTATTCTGTTTGCATAAACATGTGTGTTTTATTTAAAACAGAATGGCCCAAACAGGAGGGGGAATTAGTTTTCCCATCAGAGTGTTCATTACAAATGAAAGTGGGTACTATTTAGATATCAGTCTGTATAAGGAAGTCACAGATCCTAGAACAGGCCAGGTAAGTTTTGAAGTCAAAATTAAAAAAACAAAAAAAATTGAAATCACCTTTTTAGAAATAACTTTGAAGGTCCAGAACAAATTTGTCAGATTATTCCATTTTCAGAGCCTGCTATATAAGTAGTTATTCAGTTTCATACAATGTTTCTATATTTCCCAAACTCAGATCCATCTTGTCAGAATTGTTAGCAGGTTTTTTTGTTGTGTGAGAAAAACTTTAAAGATGTCTAACGTTCAAACTGTCCCGGGTTTAAATTTGGTATCTAATCTAATGTTTACTGTCAATGTTTTTTTTTTTGAATATGCTGAAAATGAACATGTAAAATGTTATAAAAACTGGTTTCTATTTATTTGGATGAATAAAGTAGTCTTATCTATTATTTTTCTAACAAACCTTTTTTAGGATTTTTAAAAAGTAGTTTTTTTTAAACTCTCAGAAAAATATTTCACAGACAAATATTTCCTAAATATTTTTCATTAGTTATGAATATGTCATTTAGATTTGTGGACATCTCACTTGACACTACAATCATTTTTATTTATAAAATTTAGTTTTAATTTTGAAAAAAAGTTGATCTTCTTGATAGATTTAATTTAAATGCTTCTTTATTTTTGGATAGATTATGTTTGAGGCCTATGGCGTCAAACAAGGACCACTTCATGGTCTGTTGATCAGCACACCATACCTGACCAAGGATCACCTACAGAACAAGCGCTACCAAGCCCAGTCGTCAGGCACCACATATGTCTATGACTTTCCTGAAATGTTCAGGCAGGCCCTGCTCAAGGAGTGGGAGTCACACCTGAAGAGGCACAAAATGGACACCAATAATACCCCCATGGACCTTATCTCTGTCACAGAACTGGTCCTAGACAGTCATAATCATCTGTGTACCCAAAACAGGCTGCCAGGGGAAAATGAAGTGAGATTTTGTTAGATAAATCTCCAGAAGCAAATTTAATTAAAGCAAAAACATTTCATTTTCTCATGATTTTGTTATAACAATTATTCATCTAAAACAAAAGCACTAACTCAAACTCATTGCTATCACAACATCAGTGTTCTTTTTGTAGACTCATACAATTTATTAATTTATTATTGCATGCCATAATGAAACAAGAAATCACTACAATATTTAAAATCAACAAGATCAGAACAAGGTGGTGATTAGATTACCTATCAGCTTTGAGTTCAGATTTATGTAAATAAATCAATTAAATTCATTGCCTTTCAGATAGGAATGGTTGCTTGGAAACTGACAATAAAAACACCAGAGTTCCCATTAGGAAGAGAAATAATACTCATTGCCAATGATATGACTTTTAAAATTGGTTCATTTGGGCCACAAGAAGATCTTCTTTTTAAGGTATGTTTTTAGTTCTAAAAATTCAATAATACAATATATTTTTAAACATTCTTTTTAGCCAGTTATTTATTTATTTTTTTTTATAATTTTTTTTTTTTTTGCCAGTTATGTCTTTTAACATTTTTCTTTCAAAGTCAAAGAAATTTAGTTTATGTGAGTATGTTTTTTCTCCTTAGAAAGCATCAGAGCTGTCCAGAAAATTGGGAATTCCCAGAGTTTACATTTCAGCCAACAGTGGGGCCAGACTTGGCATGGCAGAAGAACTAAAACATTTATTTAGAGTGGCCTGGTATGACCCTGATGACCCAGAGAAGGTAAGATGTACCTATGATGTGTACTGTGGGGAATTTTTTTCCTTCAGTTTGTTATATATTAAGCTGGTAGAAAATACTTTGGTTTTGGTATTCTTAATAAATTTTTTTAAGTGTCACTTTCATAAAAGTGTTTATAAAAATACAAGTATTTTTTTAAAAGAATAAGTGCAACAATCTCATCATCCATTCTTCCTTCGATATTCACATTTCATTTGCAGGGCTTCAAATACTTGTATCTTCGACCTGACGACTTTAAGAAAGTCAGCACAATGAACTCTGTAAGAGCCGAACTGATAGAGGATGAAGGAGAATCTCGTTATAAGATTACTGATATTATAGGTCAGTTAAGAAAAGATGACTTTAATGTGTAACGAAAACTATAAAAAAAATAGATTTCAGATAAACTCATGTGACAGACTTGATTCTAGAATTTTTTGTACTCAGTTTCAAAGGTAAACTTGTTAAAAGTGTCTGTGAAATTTAATGACATTATTCTTTAAGCTAATGCTTTAAGAGTTGGGTTCACCAGCAATAGTCTCTGAAAGTAGCTTTAAAATAATTTTTAGAAGTACCTACCTAGTGTTGAGGAAGCTACAAAGCAGGTGTTCTGTAAGTTTGATTTAATTAAATATTTTTTCATGTTTGATTATAGGGAAAGAAGATGGGATTGGTGTTGAGTCTTTGCGCATGGCTGGTATGATAGCCGGTGAGACATCACAGGCTTATAATGAAGTTGTCACCATTAATCTGGTATGTTTTATTCATCATTGTTTTACAAATTAACCTTTTATATTGAACTTATTCCAAAAATACTGTTTTAAACAATACCTGGCATATGTATGCATTAAAATGGTATCTGTGGCAAGATTTGAAACATTCACTTTAGATAATTTTTATAAGTTTATATTATCATATTGATAACAACAATGATTCTATAAAATTCCTTTTGCCAACTTTTATGGAAGTTTTTGTGTGTCTGAGTTGAATATATTCTGCCATAATTTTTTTTTTTTATGATCTTGAAATTTAAGTTACTTAAAAATTGAATGAGAAGTTACAACAGAAGTTAACATGCAATAATTGATTTTGATATCCAGGTTTCCTGCAGAGCTATAGGTATTGGAGCTTATTTGGTGCGTCTAGGACAGAGAGTAATACAAGTAGAAAACTCATTTATAATACTCACAGGAGCTGGTGCTCTCAATAAGGTATGATTGTCCATGTAACCGAGTGTTGTCTGATGGGCTTAGTTAGCAACATTCTGATAGACACACTGAGTAAAACCAAAAACCATTGTGTTCCAGAAATATAGTAATTATATTTCTAAAGATACATTCAACTGAAAGCATCACACAAACAAAGTTTATTTATCTCTAATCTTAAAAACTAACTGAAATCCAAATCATCAAGGAGTAAAATTTCTGTTTATTGGCCTGGTAACCTGTGTCTCAAGATCACTTATGTTGTAGTCTCCCCATGTCAAAGTGTATGTAGACTGGACAGTTGAGATCCATTAGTACCACCTATACAGCACACACCATGTCTTAGACATTTATATTAATATTCTTACTGAAAACAAATTTAAATACACAAGGCTGTAACTAAAGAAACTTCTGCAAACAGACAGCAGTCAGTTTTGTCATTTCAATGAAATGCAGATTATACATATTGCACAGTCATGAAATCCAATCTTTAAAAAAAAATTCAGTTGTGATCACTCAAAATGTTTTCAGTTTTCTTTCCTTTCATGTACAATTCATTGTTGCCAGTTTTTCTGTATTTTTTTGTCAAATACTCTTTATATAAATATCAATAAATAAATATGGATGTATCATGGTACATGTTTATAGAAATATAATATCACATGCTTCATTTGTAAAAGTGAAGTAAATTTTAAAAAAAATAAAGGGTGAAAAATTAGAACATATTAAAATTTTGTGCATAATATTATGATTTCAGTGGGAGTTTTAGAGATTTCTTCCAATTTTGTTTTTATTTGTTGAAAGCCTTTCTATGGAGTATCAAATCTAAAAAAAGAGTTGTTAATCTTATTTATGTTTATAATATCTGCTCAGGTTCTGGGAAGAGAAGTGTACACAAGCAACAGTCAACTTGGTGGTATACAAATCATGCACAACAATGGTGTGTCTCATGCTGTTGTACCAGATGACTTTGAGGGGGTGTGTAAGATCCTGCACTGGTTGTCATACATGAGGCTGGTAAGTTCTTGAAACATTAACTCAGGCAAATAAAATTATATGACGTGCCAACATGTCTGGAAAAAGTTTGAAACATCCTACCTCTTGAATGTGAGGTAGATGTCAAGATACTCTGTTTCTCCAGTCGAGACTTTTTGAGCATTTCTGGCAATGTTGTCTTGGTTACACTATCGCCCGATGTACTAATAACCAAGCAGACAGAATATTATACACCAACACTTCGTGACTTCTTGGTATCTATCACACACCTCCGCCTGGTTACAATATCTCCTAACACAGCCTATTCAGAACACCTGAGCTTTCATTCATTAATGTCTCGGGACTCTCTCCTAATCAACTGCCACCGAACTCTCTCGATCTCACGCCTTAAATTCACACACTTCTTTATTATGCTGTCCCTGTCATCCAGTGACCCATTATGCCACAAAAATACAACTCATGACCTGAACTCACAGACCAAAAAGCGTTCATACTAACATCAGTGATTCTCATACCCTTGATAGTAGACATGCTAACATATTGCCACCAGGGCCAAAGGGCCACCTCTTGGCCGTTAAAATAAATTTTAAAAAAGGGAAAGAAACATTTTTGGGCAAATGAAAGTTTTCCTTGTCTGTAATTATTTAAATCATCACAACAGAAAAAAACTGGACCAATACCAATGCTGCCGCCCTTGGATCCAGTAGAAAGGATCATAGAGTTTTGTCCTACAAGAGCTCCTTATGACCCAAGATGGATGCTGGCTGGTAGAAAAGGTGAGTTAGTTCTCTAGAAAGGATTTTCATAAAATAAAATATTTTTCATCTTCTCCCCTTACCTGGATTTAATTAAGTTTTAAAAAAAACCCCACAGATTTAAATGCATATTGTGTTTTTTATCCAGTAGTTTTGAGGCTTTCATATGTTTTAAAAGTATTTCATAAAACAGGTATTGAATATGAAAACTTGGGCAAGAGTCCCACAGTTTAAACTTAGTGCTATACAAAGGTTGCAGTTAGTTATCTGTATATGAATAAAATGTCACTTCATTTAAAAAATTGTTCAATGAAGGTGTTTTTTTTTGTGTGTGTTTGATCTAGACAATGGTAAAAGAATGTCTGGTTTCTTTGATGCTGGTTCTTTTGATGAAATCATGCAACCATGGGCGCAGACTGTTGTAGCTGGGAGGGCCAGGTATTAGTTTTGAGTGTTGTAGCTGATATTCTTTAAAACACATTTTAAAATCTTCATCAGCTTGAACCATCTTATCCTCTTTATCTGAAAACAATAAGTTGTAAACAATTTATAGGATTTGCCATTGTGAGCATTATTATTTAATTTTTTCCTTTACACTTTCAGACTTGGTGGCATTCCTGTGGGAGTGGTTGCTGTAGAGACCAGATCAGTAGAGCTGCAAATTCCAGCAGATCCAGCAAATGCTGACTCAGAATCAAAGGCATGTCAAGTTTACTGATTTTTAACATGAAGTAAATGAAACTAAATGAAAAGAATAAATTGTAATTTTAAAATTAATTTCATTTGATTACTTTTGATGGATATTCTGTTTCGTATTTCTTTAAATTTTTATTTATTTTAAAGTACCTCTCTAACTTACTTAAGAGATGTGTTTAAGATAGTCTTTGTTGTCATTTCTGTTCAGGTGATACAACAAGCTGGTCAGGTGTGGTTCCCAGACTCAGCCTACAAGACTGCACAAGCTATCAAAGATTTTTCAAGGGAAGAATTGCCACTTTTCATGTTTGCCAATTGGAGAGGTTTTTCTGGTGGCATGAAGGGTGAGCTGTTTTAGTCAAGTTGATGACTTCTGTTGGTGTAATATTTAAAACTACAGCATGATAAAACATAATGTATCCGCATTTGCAGTATGAAAGAAGATAATTATTTTTGAAAACCACAAAATGTAAAAATTACAAGTTAAGTCACAGCAATCTAGTTATTTTTATGTTACAAAGTAACATAATGATTATTTTGTTTTAATTATTATATAAATAATAAATCCCATTCCTAAAGTTAATGTGAAAGTGAATTGAAATCAGTGATTGCAAAAATCTACAGCCAAACATTTCTGGCATTATATGTATTAATCAATATATAATTTGTATTAAGCCATTACTTGTGGTCTGTTCCAGACATGTATGACCAAGTCCTCAAGTTTGGCTCCTACATTGTGGATGCCATCAGAGAATACACACAGCCCATCTTTGTTTACATTCCTCCATATGGTGAGCTGCGTGGGGGCTCCTGGGTAGTGGTTGATCCACTCATTAATCCAGACTACATGGAAATGTATGCAGACAGTTTGAGCAGGTCAGTTCAGCTAAGGACGTCCCCCATCAATACATTTTCAATCAATATCATTCTTAAATAAATTGAAAGCATATAATAAAATATAAATTCGTTATAAAAAGCTTTGGTGGATTTTAGGTCATTTTTTAAAATTGTTTCCATTAACAGAGGTGGTGTTTTAGAACCAGAAGGCACAGTGGAAATAAAATTCAGAAGAAAAGACATTGAAAAGTGCATCAGTCGATTGGATGCAGAGACCAAGAAAATGATTGAGAAACTGTCCAGTCCAGGCCTGGCCCTGGAGGCCAAGGTCAAACTGGAGGCAGACTTGAAAGAGAGAGAAGAACACCTGGTACCATTATACCATTCTGTAGCTGTCATGTTTGCTGATTTACATGATACACCTGGAAGGATGGAGGAGAAAGGCTGTATAACAGTAAGAGAATGTAACATTAAGTAATTATGGGGCGAAAAATGTAATTTGTGTAGGGGCTAATTCTATTCTGTGTGCACTGAAGGGGGGGGGGGGGTGGAGATTTTTTTAATTGGGGGGGCGGGGCCCTCAGGAGAATGTGTATGTACATTATATTTATGGGGCGAAAAATGTAATTTGTGTAGGAGCTAATTCTATTCTGTGTGCACTGAAGGGGGGGGGGGGGGTTGTAGATTTTTTTAATTGGGGGGGCGGGGCCCTCAGAAGAATGTGTATGTACATTATAATGCACAAAGTCTGCCATTATTATTCTTTCAACACTGATTAATGTAATAAACCGCAATGTATCATAATTATCGTCATACTGTAGCTTTGTGTTGTCACAACTAACTTTCAAAAGTAATGCATAGCCTAGTGACAACTTATAAGTCCACTGATTGCCTTTGTTTCCATGCATGTTATGTAATTTGTGACTTTAAACAAGGGAGAAAACCAGTAACATGAGTTTTAACACTTGAGTGGGTGTTGGGGGGGGGGGGGCGTGATTCTCATATATATATATGTGTACTCAAAGTGGGGTGTAAAAAAATGTACAGATGAAACAGGGGAGGGGGTATTTTTGATTTTCTCTTTGCATACATAATAATTGGATGGCCCCTTATTTTGCTTACATTTAATTAACTGTCACAAAAATGGTTTGCAAGCTTAAAATGAAAATATTGTGGAAGTATTCTTGGAAAAATTGAAGTTTACAAATCACTACATTTTCATGCTAGTTTCTTCAAACTTATTAAATTCCCTTTTAAAAATAATTCAGTAGATAAGTTCCCATCATGCACTGAAACTTAAAAGTGTAACCATTTTTAATAAATAAAATCAATATGTGATAAAATGGAAATGATGTTACCTTGGTCACGGTCTAGTGCCCAATGTAACTGTTGCTAAAAGATACCTTAAATAATCTGACCTAATAGTTTGAAAGTTAATAATTAGAGTTAGAGACAACAGTAGTTTCTCTTTGATACGCCTAAAATAAGTAATTTTGCCTTTTACTTCCAAGAGCTTTCTTAAATGTTAAAATTTTTTCTGTTACAGAAAGTCCTGGAGTGGTCCACGTCACGTGAATTCTTCTACTGGCGGTTACGTCGCAGATTGCTGGAGCTCGAGTTCAAAAAATTAATGAAGCAACACATTCCTGACTCAACTCAGGCACAGCTTGATTCCATGTTGAGTCGGTGGTTTGTTGAGGACAAGGGACCTATAAATGTAAGTGTGCGTGAAATCTCAACTTCTGCTTAAAACTTTTGTTCTGTTGACAAGATCTTTGATCATTTGATTGTTTGTTTTTGTATAACGTCTTTGAGCCAAATTTAACTCTGTTTCTCTCATCTAGTGAGCTGAAATTTAATGTGCAGCTTTATCTGGCAACACATTTTAATCTTTCAAATCCTCTCATATATTACAAAATATTTTTTTAAATTTTGAACCAAAAGAAACATTGTTTCTCACTTTTGAAAAACATTTTTGACATCTCAGTTCTGAGAAACACTGTTGGCATCTCAATTCTGAGAAAAAATAAAACAAAGGGTAATAACTTTATATAGACATTTCTAAATTTAACCAAGAAATATAACTTCTTGTTGCTAAGTTGGTAAAGCATCCGTCTGGTAATTTATATATTCTTTTAATCCCGAATTCTGGTTACGGGTATAACTATTTTTTCTAATAGCAGTGTTATTGAGATTGCCTTAATACTCATGTCAGTAAAAAGAGAGCTTTTGGTTTGTATTAAATCAACATATTTTGTTATTAATTATAATAAAAATTGGATAATAAAATGCATTAGTGTTTTAAATGACCTGCTCATTTACATTATTCCCACCTTTAAGTTATTTTATGCAACTCTATTTCTGTGCTCACCCCTAGACATACCAGTATGAAGATGACAAACTTACAGTAGAATGGCTTGAGGAGCAAATGAAGGACATCACTGATAACAATGCCGTAATGGAAAACATAAGATGTTTGCAGAGGGACCATGTGCTGTCACAGATCAGGAAGTAAGATATTTACTGTTATTAAAACAAAGCTTATGAACACCTACTATCTCATTTTCATCCAGTATAAAATTCAATTCTATGCCTTTACTTTTTTTTAAAGTCACTATAACTTATTTAAAATATTCGTTGATGTGCAGCTTGGCAATGAACAATTATTTATGAAATGGGATTTTAAAATCATGTAAAGATACTGTTTCCTTTTCATGTCAACAAATTCTTTTGCCTGTTTATCTAAAGACAAAAATCGATCGACACATCTGGCAATTCCTTTCTACCATATTTTTCAATCATCTTATTAGTGTAATTTATCATTTTTTTAAATCTTTTTTTTTGGTCATTTCATGGCTGATTCTTATTTTCCTCTCTTCCAGCCTGATGGGATCCAACCCAGAAATAGTGATGGATTCAATAGTGTCCATGACTCAGCACATGACAAACACACAGAGGAATGAAGTCGCACGCATTCTGGCCAGCCTCAACTCTAAAGAGGAGGCCACACCAGAGTCATAACAATTGCCTTAGCTCTTGATTAAAAACACATTCAAAAAAATTTAAGGAGATGATAATGCTTTATAAATAAAGCTAGTGTATATAATATATATATATATATGGATATATTATGTGTAAAACATTTTAGACCAGACGTAGGTGATTAAAAACATTGAAAAACTGTTGTCCTATTAGTTTAGACAATTCTGCAGATGCTGAATTGGATAAAATAAAAGCAAAGAAATTAATTAATGCAAAAATCACAAGCGGGGAAAAAGTTTGCCTATCTGTACTTGCGTGGAAATAGTCAAATAATCTCTGTGCTACACGGTAAGGCCATTATTGTTTACATCTAGTACGTATATCATCATGAAGGGTTCAACATTGTGATAAGACAATGGTGCTTGTATGCACACAGGATGAATATGATTTCAAGGAGAATGTGTGCCATCAGCCATGATTGGTCTTCTCACTTCTTAAAAGATGGGACTTCATTCAATAGCAAATTGTTAAAACCATTTGTGGATAAGACTTTGATTTTGATGAAAGTCAATTTATGACAAGCTTTGTTGACAATTATACATGTTTTTAACTACAGCCTGTGCCAGGAATCAAAACAGAGAAATAGATTGCAACTTGCAATGATATAGTCACAATCACATTCCCTCATTTTTCTTAGATAAATAAAAATATCAATGAATACATTTCTGAGAGAAGAAATTTTATGCATTTGATATTGAGAGCAGGAGGAATCCAAAATTACTTTTTAAGGCAAAAGAAAAATATAATCTCTCATTTTGGTTGTGATAAATTTTTTTTAACCTTTTTTTTTTTTTTCCCTTTGGTTAATCCCAATATTGTTGCAAAACTTTGTCAGCATGTCTTAGTATCTCCAGCCTAGCTGTTGAGGTCTTTTTACATCAGTTGAATGTAAGTTATTTGTAAAGATTCGACAAAGGTTATGTTATAGATGGCTGTAATGTGTACCATGTGGTGTCATTGTTGAGAAACAGATTCTGGTGATTACTTAACAATGGTATTGGTAGAATTATATCCTTTACCTGTGGTTGTAGACTTATAAAATACATCAATGGTAGACTTACTTAACAGATTAATGTTAGACTTATATAATTAATTTACCAATATTAGACTTTTAAACACAACAATGGTAGACTTGTATAACTAACCAATGTTAAACTTATGTAACTAATTAACCAATGGTAGAATTTTAAACACACCAATGGTAGACTTATATAACTTTTGGTAGACTTTTATAACACACCAATGGTAGACTTGGATAACACCAATGGTAGACTTGTATAACACACCAATGGTAGACTTGTATAACAAACCAATGGTAGACTTGTATAACAAACCAATGGTAGACTTGTATAACAAACCAATGGTAGACTTGTTTAGAGGCAAGGGGAGGTGGGGGAGGATTAAGAGCACATGATTTTAACAAATTTTGAATTAAATATATTGAAAGCAACGCGCACCCCCCCCCCCCCAACACACACACACACTTCTCCCACACCAATTATCTTCTGTATCAGCTATTCTTTATTGTTGACATTTCTAATAAAAAAATTGGCAACTTAATTTATGCCTTATCTCTCAATGACTAAAACTCTTTAATCTATATAAGTATATTAAAATCAGTTATCTCTATCCATAATTTGCGGGGGGTAATGTGGCTCTTGATACCCTGCCCCTACCCTAAATAAAAAACTTCCAAGTAATGGTCTAATTCTTTTAGAAACTCTAGTATTCAGTTTTTGTCCACCTTTTCTCTCTAAACTTTCTATAGGCTTGCAGTAGAGATCACTAAGGTGTTTCAGTGTTGATCTTCTTTGGTTTCCCCTTGATTCTTTGGTTTCACCTTGACACTTGATACTTTGAAAAAACAATATATTTATATATGTATTTTATAATGTGAAACGTCTTCCAGCATGCTGTCCAAACCCCCTCCCCCCGTCATATAATTTGAAATTTTTAGACAGAAATGAGAGGCGCGATTTTTTTTCCCCGCATAAAATTATTGTTTTACTAGGACAACTGTAAAATCAAAATTTATTTGAATACCTCAACCCCCCCCCCCCCCGTCATATAATTTGAAATTTTTAGACAGAAATGAGAGGCGCGATTTTTTTTCCCCGCATAAAATTATTGTTTTACTAGGACAACTGTAAAATCAAAATTTATTTGAATACCATTAACTTGTATGTAACGGTGTTTGATAAGGGGGAAAAAAAAAATATTTCGTCAAAATATGACAGGCTTGAAAATAGAATATAATTATGATAGATGAATCATCCCGATAGCTGCTTGACCATAAAATGAAGTGAAGGATAACTCTGTCCTTATTCAACCTTGTGATAAGTTCAGATTCTTTTTTTTTCATGAATCAACTAAAAAATGTTGATGTTTCATTGTCCTCAAACTTAGTGTATATAAAGATGACTGGTTATATAAAGATGACTGGTCAAGATACTGAGAAACCAGCCGAAGCTCTATTCCCAACATGCAGGTTGTTTTAAAATGTTTGCTATTTATTTATTGCTTATACATTTCAACTTATGAACTAAATAGTTGTAGCATCACTGCCAATGAACTTTGGTATTCAAGAAATCATACTCCCTCTGTATGTTAGACTAAAGCGGTGCATTCTCTAAGACTCGATTGGACGCAGCCATCTTCTAGTCCGTGCAGTACCATGACCCCCTCCCTCCACCCATCTGATCACTGTTTATGCAGCAGATGTTTAGTCACCAATGGTCAGTCAACCGATTCGTTTTGTTTGTTTGTGATCTCATTCCTGTAGAAGCAAAAGTCCTTATCATATTATCGCCCAAGGACTCAGGTTGAATTCATGATGATAGCATTATTTGATGATTGCATTATTTATTGCTTTTATTTAAATTGATATTTTTTCCTAATTTTAAATTAGACTATAACACCTTTCCTATGTTACAAGACATCTGGTCCTCTTATGGTCCCATTATGGTCCTGTTATGGTCCCGTTCAACAGCATGCTCTAGCTTAAAAGAGCATCTTGTTTTGATCGGAGAAGATGCGAACATTAAAAAATACACAATAATTAGTAATATTATATTATATAGTGTCATTATTTCCTATGCTTTTCTTGCTCCTTGTGCTGCCGGAAAAGGCAACCATGTAGTAAGGACCTCCACCAGGAGCTAACATAGAATTATCCAGCCAGCCATCATGTTGATTGCACATGTTATAGAATATTTGACTAATGATACTTATGTTCACCCACGCACCAGATTTTTATTCTAATCTGGTGATTGGACTGTCCCCCATTAAATAATAATGTACTAAATATGTATAAAGTGGGTCACAGTTGGAGTGTGTTGTATCATTAAATAGAGTACAAAATCTGCAGTTGAGATGAGTATGTGTGCCATGTGTGTGGAACTATGACATGCATGAAGTAATATTTTGAAACATTTATTGCACCTTATTCTACAACAAGATTTTATATTTCTATGATTTAGAAACTCTTTGTCAGAGCATATAAGATTTTTTTTTAAACTTCTTTTCTTTAAAAGTATTTTTGTAAAAGGTACCCCCCCAAAAAAAAAGACATTTTGATATTATTCTTTTTTTTTTTTTTTTTTTTTTTTTTTTTTTTTTTTTTTTTTTTTTTTTTTTTTTTTTTTTTTTTTTTTTTTTTTTTTTTTTTTTTTTTTTTTTTTTTTTTTTTTTTTTTTATTTTTTTTTTTTTAATTTTTTTTTTTTTATTTTGATATTATTCATTCCAAGTTTTAAACAGGAGTTGCTGTTGTATCCACTGTTGATATAACATTAAAGTTTAAGTGGTGAATGTTACAGTTTTGTGGAATATTATGCATTTGAAAAATGAGAGAAGAAAAAACAGAATTTCTTTTTTTTTTATTTGTTGAATTATGGCCTGATGTTGAATTCTGTGTTACTTCAATTTTAAACATGTTTATATAGTTAACAAATATCATCTGACATTCATCTGTTACCATTACATTTTTAAACATTCAGTAATAGTTATATCCCTTTATGTAAATTTGAATAGAGTATAAAATGTTTTTTTACTTTCTTTCTTTTAGTTTCTTTCAGTTAGGATGGATCCCCTTTTTTGCCAATTTGTTCTTGTGAGACAATAAAATTTGAATGAAACAACCAGTGGCATTTGTGTTTTTGGGTTATTTGAAGGAATCTCATTGATCATTATGTATTGTATATGAATTTACTGGTGAATTAAGACAAGTGCGGTTACTATTATCTTCAAATTCTTTCAAATTGGGGCATTAATTTAAAAACAGAAAACAAATGAAAGATGCCAAAAGTAATGTTGGTTGAGAATCTGTATTTATTCAAGACTTTAGGAATAGAGAACAAGATTGTGTATGGATCTTATGAAGGACATTTTTGAATTCATTTATTGTTTTGATTTCAACAGTGTGCCGGATTAAACTAAGGCAAATGTCTTATGGCTCCACCAGTGATGTAGGAAAGGGGTGGAGTGTGTGTGGTACTGGCTCCACCAGTGATGTAGGAAAGGGGTGGAGTGTGTGTGGTACTGGCTCCACCAGTGATGTAGGAAAGGGGTGGAGTGTGTTAGTACTGGCTCCACCAGTGATGTAGGAAAGGGGTGGAGTGTCCATCAGTGATGTAGGTAGAGGGTGGAGGTTGTGGTCCTGGCCCCATCAGAGATGTAAGTGGGGGCTGGAGGTTGTGGTCCTGGCTCCATCAGAGGTGTAAGGAGGGTGTAGTCATGGCTCCATCAGAGATGTAGAAAAGGGGCGAGGGTGTGGTCATGGCTCCATCAGAGATGTAGGAAGGGGGTGGAGGTTGTGGTCCTGGCTCCATCAGAGATGTAAGTAGGGTGTAGTCATGGCTCCATCAGAGATGTAGGAAAGGGGGGAGGGTGTAGTCATGGCTCCATCAGAGATGTAGGAAAGGGCTGGAGGTTGTGGTCCTGGCTCCACCAGTGATGTAGGAAGGGGGTGGAGGTTGTGGTCATGGCTCCACCATTGATGTAGGAAGGAGGGTGGAGGTTGTGGTCATGGCTCGACCAGTGATGTAGGAAAGGGGGGAGGTTGTGGTCATGGCTCCACCAGCGATGTAGGAAGGGGGGGGAGGTTGTGGTCATGGCTCCACCAGTGATGTAGGAAGGGGGAGGAGGTGGTGGTCATGGCTCGACCAGTGATGTAGGAAAGGGGGGAGGTTGTGGTCATGGCTCCACCAGTGATGTAGGAAGGGGGTGGAGGTTGTGGTCATGGCTCCACCAGTGATGTAGGAAGGGGGTGGAGGTTGTGGTCATGGCTCCACCAGTGATGTAGGAAGGGGTGGAGGGTGTTGTCCGCCACGGGCTGAACTGCAGTGGTTTTTTTCGTGGAAGTGGGCCGGCAAAAAAAGGTGGCACTTAACCTAGCTACGTCACTAGCTCCAACCCTTTAGGGGCCCTGCAACAAAGTATCAATATTTTCATGTTTTAATTGATTTAATCTTGAACTCGCATGTAATGATGTAATTTTCTTATAGCGCTTCTAAAGAAGATGCAGGCGTGTAGATTCAAACGTGTAGAGCAGGGGACGGGAACCTATGGCTTGCGAGCCAGATGTGGCTCTATTGATGACTGCATCTGGCTCTCAGACAAATGTTCGATTATTAAAAAAAAAATTTCTTTAGACTACTTTGATCAACATATTAATTGCATACAATATTTGATTAGCAACAGAATAACAATGTTATTAAAAAGAATTCAGAAACATAATTATTTTATTTTTAGTGTTGAAATTACACAAAATGCACACATCTACTTGAATTTTTAGTTTTAAACAT